TAGATGACATTCATATAAAAGACACACTCCTTAGGGGCTGTGGCATAGATAAGATCATCTGTTTAAGGGAGCATACTGAAATTCAAATGAGTGGCACAGGCATTATCAAAAGTGAATCTTGAATCTATCCATATATATCATTCATTCACAGACTTTGGTACTTTTTTTTATTAACAAATTACTTGTATGCTGTAATATAATTTACCATGGCATATCCGTTTGTTGTGAAATGACAGTTGAAAACTGCTGTTTTGGAGCATATGACAATAGGGAGGGCAGGATTTACAGGCATAAAATAACTGAATAATTCAGAATAGTGTAAGATATACTGAAATGTGGGGATATGCACTATGACTACTCGAGGCTTTCTTTTAAAAATTAAAGTTTATTGGGGTGACAATGGTTAGTAAAGTTACATAGGTTTCAAGTGTATAATTCTGTAATACATCTGTATATCACATTGTGTGTTCACCACCCAGAGTCAGTTCTCCTTCCATAGTCAAGGAAATCTTTGTGGAGAAAATGGCTGCTGAAAAATGGATAGCATAACAGTCCAAGTTCTTTTTAAAAAGAAAAACAAACACAACTTTATAGGGGAACAATGTGTTTTTTCCAGGACCCATCAGCTCCAAGTCAAGTTGTCCTTCAATCTTAGTTGTGGAGGGCGCAGCTCAGCACCAAGTCCAGTTGCCGTTTTCAATCTAGTTGCGGGGGGGTGCAGCCCACCATCCCATGCAGGAGTTGAAGCGGCAACCTTGTTGTTAAGAGCATGCGCTCTAGCCAACTGAGCCCTCTGGCTGCCCACTGGCAGCTCAGCGGCAATTCAGCTCAAGTCATTGTCTTTAATCTAGTTGCAGAGGGCCTAGCTCACCAGCCCATGTGGGAATTGAACCAGCAACCCTGTTGCTCAGAGCACACATTCTAACCAACTGAGCCACCCGGCCACCCCACAAGTCCAGGTTCTTAATTATAAGTAACACAAGTAAAATCTGTTTAATTTTAATTGGAAAAATAATTTTTAAAAAGATACCAGGGCACATGCATACCCTTTGACCCCACAGTTTCATTCCTTGACCCAACAGATGCACATACACATGTGTGCACTAATGTGTCCATTTGTATTAGAGCTAAACTGGAAATTATCCAAATGCCCATCAACAGTAGCATAGATGAGTAGTGGAGTAGTCACCTAATAGTAGAAAGCTATACATACAGAATGAGAATGAACAAACTGCAGTTACACACAGCAACCGGGGTGAATCTTACAAACATGCTATTGAGTGAAAGAAGCCATGCACAAAAGAGAGCCCAGTGAATGATTCCACTTATATCAAGTTGAGAACAGGCAAAACTAATCTATCATGTTAGAAGTCAGGATAATGGATAATGGTTGCCCGTGGGAGGGGAATGGTACTGGAAGGGGGAGCCAGGGGGACTTCAGGAGTACTTGGAATAGTCTGTTTCTTGACACTAGTGGGTTCAGTTTGTGAATATTAATATTCTTTTAGCTATATACTTAATGTTATGTGCACTTTTGCCTTTCATATGTTATGCTGTGTACTTTTCCATATTCATGTTGCACATCAATACAATTTTACGTTATAATATATGTATATTAGGTAACTTGGAATTACGGGAGCTCCAAGCTATGTATATCCCAAAGCCTGGTTCAGTGCCCCAAATCATGCTGCTGAGTTGTACTTCCACTGCTAATCATTAAATTGCAGCTTGTACCAGTGGCCACTGCCACTACCAGCTTTGCTTGCCTTGTTTCCTGAGAGCTTGATCCTGCTGTAGCTATTTCCACCTGAGGGTGATAGTTCCATTCCTGGCTCCATTCTGTGGCCTCTCTATTCAAAATCTGGTGTGGCTGGCTTTGTTAGGTGGAGCCTGGTACAGGATCCTATCCTTGCTGCAAGGGAGTCTGGGAAAGCAAATATCTGACATTTTCAGCTTTTATAGTGGACAGTAGTATGTGCCAGAAATTGTTAAAAAAAAAAGGTAGTTTATGTTTTAGAGTGAAATTCTTCCTGAGATGAACATTTAGGTAAGTAGAAGAAAAAGAATTTCAAATGTTAGGTACAATAGAAGCCTAGAGGGAGAGGTCAAATTGCATTTGGGTCCAGTGGAACAAGTTTAACTGGTATCGAAGGGTGTGTTCTGGGAAAATGCTTTGAGAGAAGTTGAAGGAATAGGGTAGGAAAGATTAAGGATTACTTTGAAAGCCAAGCAGAAGAATTTAAATTTAATATGGGAATTTTGGAGCCAGGAAAAGTTTTTAAACAAGAAAGTGTCCACAGAGGAAAAGGTATTTAAGGACCATTAATCTGGCAGCACTTCTAGGAACAGCTAGGAGGCGTCTGTAGTAATTTAGGGATGGGGTGGTGGATTGGGGATAGAAATAAAAGGCAAAGATTGGATTTAAGAGAGAATTTGAAGGAGAAAAATCAGTAGGACTTTATGAAGAGAATGAAGTAGAAGCTAATTTAATTCTCAGACTTTTGAGTTTGAGTATGTGGTGCTGACTTTCATTCAGAGCTAGAGAGGCTGAGAAGGGGATCAGTTTGGAGGAAGCAGAAGAATGGATTTTAGTTTTGGAATTGTTGAGTTTGAGGTGATAGGTCTTTGAGTAAAAGCTGTCCCTGTATAGTTGGAGATGTAGACCAGAAAGTGAAGTAAGCTCTGTGGAAGAAATAGCTCTCACAGGGAGAGATGCTGTGAAGGGACTGGAACAAAATGTGCTGGAGCCCCCAGGGCATTTCTCAGATCTCATAAATTGGCAGGTAGACATCTTGAATTTAATGTATGAAGGTATGACAGTTAAGTTTGCGAACTCATCCTAGAAAAAGTGCTACATACGTCATTGCTGAATGTTACTACCGTCATCTTCGAAGTACTCCCCTTGGGAAGCTGTGCACTGGTGCCAGTGCCTAGCCCACCCTTCAAAGCAATTTTGGAACTCCTTTTCTGGAATGGCCATCAGAGCTGTCGTTGTATTACCCTTGATGTCCTGAATGTCACCAAAATGTCTTCCTTTCAATATTTCCTTTATCTTTGGGTACAGAAAGAAGTCATTGGCGGCCAGATCAGGTGAGTAGGGAGGGTGTTCCAGTACAGTTATTTGTTTACTGGCTAAAAACTCCCTCACAGACAGTGCCGTGTGAGCTGCTGCATTGTTGTGATGCAAGCGCCGTGAATTGCTGGCAAAAAGTTGAGGTCGTCTAACTTTTTCATGCAGCCTTTTCAGCACTTCCAAATAGTAAACTTGGCTAACTGTTCAGTTGGTACAAATTCATAATGAATAATCCCTTTGATATCAAAAAAGGTTAGCAACATCGTTGCAAACAAATTCGTGAACTTAATCGTCAGACCTTGTAGTGGTAAATTTGAACCACAACCTGTACCTCCTGTTTCATCAAGCTTCACTTCTCCACCTCGGCCCACATTGATAAGTATTATTGTTTTATATGTTTTCTTTCTGTTACTCTAATGTCTTTGGAAAGTAAATGATTAATGTATGTGAAGCTTCTCTTGGTGATTTCTAATAATTTTGAATGCTTTGAATATAAGGAGGATATGTCAAAAGCTTTAAACAAGATCAAGAGCGACAGCGTATAAAAAGTAGGCCTCCATTTGATTAGAAAAATTATAAGCTGAAGTTCTCAGCACCACTACAGGGTAGCCTTGAATCAGTGATGACACTTCCCTTCCATATTTTACTTAGAAAAGAATGGCTGTAAAACCTACTTAGGCCTCACAAGATCTTTTCGAGCCTTAGCCAATATGTTTAGGCACTGTCAGTAACCACAAACTTTTAACATATTATTCAGGCTTGGAAAGGCAGCCCAGACTCTGGAGCCCGACAGTAGGCTTTTCTATATGGTTTGGAAGCTATTGCTCAGGCATGCCTTCTTGGTATTCCTCTTAGGACTTTATCCTCTATAGTCTTTAGCATGTCCCTACTTGCTAGATGACATTGGATTGCTCAGATATCATTCAAGGATCTGCAGCTAACTTAACAGAAAGCACTCACTCTGAGTGCACTCCTTGGGTAATGTGTGAGACAGTGAAGAAAATCCTTAGATGGTTGCCCATCATTTATGCTGCTGGTGTGTTTGCTGGCATACTTTGAGTCCTCGGACTCTTCAGCATACAGTATAATAGGTAATGTCTTCCGTATGTTGAACCTAGTGTAGAAGATCTGAGTCATGTTAGCTGAAAAGTCCTAAGGCTTTTCTCTCTGTAAGGTTTCTCTGCCTAAAAAGGTAGCAGGTTGAGAATGCAGGAAGTGAGTTTGAGTCCATGTCAAAGGATCCATCAGCTTTTCTAATCAATTGGATTTTAAAGTGAAACAAAGTGGTGAACCAGTATCACATTTATAAAAATTAACCTTTTGCTTACCTATCTAATAAACTTTGCAGCTCTCTTCCTTTGATCACATGGTACACAAGTAGTTTCTTTTGAAGCCACTTTCAAAATAGTTTCCCAAGACATCTGTCTGTCATATCATGTCATGTAGTTTGTGAAAGACTTTAAAGCAACAAGACCATAGAATATCAGATCTATTGTTATTTTTGCAGAGAACATTCCATAAGCTGGTTTGAGAGAAGTAGGAATTTAACACCCTTTCCAAGCGTCCCCTTACCTCATTTACCTTCAAAGACAACAGTCCTCACAGGCTAACTATAATTGCCTAAAACAAAAGTAGCAAGGCACAGATGGATATGGAAATTATTATTAGGAGGCAAACAAAAGGAGGTCACCAGTCTGTGGCATTACCTAAGAATTGAGTAACCATTCTTTTGGGAAGGGATAATGCTAACTTTATCAATAGAATTCCACTAAAAATATAAAGAAAAACAACCACCAAGATACTGTATCTATTAAAAATACTTTGTTTCACTTTAGAGCTGGCTGAACTTCAGTGGTGATTGGAACTTGTTTTTATTTTATATATGTTTTTGTAGTACAATTTTAAAATCTTACTCTTTTTAATTTAGGAGCTGTCTCATCTTACACATTAGAGCTTAATTTGACAGATTCAGAAAAAGCCACTTGCCTTTATGCAAAATGGCAGATGAATTTCACAATACGCTATGAGACTACAAGTAAAAATTATGTAAGTATTTGTATTTTTCTCTTGAGTTTTATGGCAGAATTTAATTCTTCTCTTTTTTATCCTGTATGTACATTTATACAAATAAGACTTCATATGTTAACTGACTTAACAGTTAAATTCTGTGGGTATTTTTTTAAACATGTATACTCGAAAGTATTCTGATTAGTGTTGGAAAGAATATTTTAATTAACTGGTTCTTTGGAGTTTTTCTCGGAATTGCTTAAGGGCAAATTATTTGAAGACTGTGACGTTCAGGTCTAACTACTTCTGTAATGTTTTTAACATGTACTAACATCAAAGCTTGCCCCCTTTTTAATAACTTGTTATTAAAATCTTTTTTGGTGGTATCTCCACAATCCTTTTGCCTTCTTATTTTCTTCTAGTTAAGGTCCTGCCTACTTACAACCTAATTTCTTTCAAAATCAACTGAAGATACAGTGTCAGATGGTTGCTGTACTTACCGTGATCACTTCTTTAGCATAGGAAATATAATCAATAATGTGTTAATAACTGTATATTACTAGGTAAACACTGTTGAATAACTATGATGTACACCTGAAACTAATATAATATTGTATTTTAGCTATATTTTAATACAAATCTTTAAAAAATAAACTGAAGGACAGAAGTTCAGGCCAGTTTTCCTTTTTCTTTTAGTCATATCAATAGTACATGAATTTGCCCAGAGGACTGGTATGTAGCTGGAGAATCTGAGCAAACCAGGCAAAGGGCAGCCTGGCCATGGGGGATGTGTGATGTAGACTGAAGTGGCACATCCTTCGGAAATGCTTGGTGTTCATTACTGCCTATTTGTTCCTTACCCAGAAACTTCTTTTTCTTTTTCAACTTCATGTCTTTTATTATTTCTTATTTATTTTATTGGGATAACATTGGTTAATAACATTATATACTTTTCAGGTGTACAAGGTTATAATACTATTGGATTGTCAGAAAAGTCATGATGTATTTTTTCTATGTTTTTCATTGCAAAAATGCATCATGACTTTTCTGACAACCCAATATATTTGTATACTCTATTGTGTGTCCACCACCCAAAGTCCAGTTTCCTTCCATTATCATATAGTTGATATGGTAATATATAATATCTGGTAGTGGAATTACCCACTACCCTTTTTCCTCTGTGGTAACCCACCATTCCGTTGTCTGTATCTATGAGCTTATTTTTGTTTGTTTTGTTAGTTTGTTACTTTTTGTTTTATATTCCACATATGAGTAAAACCTTATAGTTTTTGTCCTTTATTGTCTGACTTACTTCACTTAGCATTATACTTTTCATGATTCATCCATGTTGTCGCAAATGGCAATATTTCATCTTTTTTATGGCTGAATAGTATTCCATTGTATACAAGGTCAGACAATTAAGTTTGCGAACTCATCCTAGAAAAAGTGCTACATGCATCATTGCTGAATATCTCTATGGTCATCTTCAAAGTACTCCCCTTGGGAAGCTATGCATTGACACCAGTTCCTAGTCCACCCTTCAAAGCAATTTTGGAACTCCTTTTCTGGAATGGGCATCAGAGCTGT